AGCTCGGAGCCGACGCGCAGCAGCAGTGGGTCCTGGGGCGTGTGGGCAGCCTCTGGCCCCCCTGCCGGCCCAGCCCTTCTGTCCATCCCACTGCACCTCCCTGCCCGGCAGAGAGGAGCCCATCCGTAGCTGCAGAGCGCGTGCTCCAGTCGGAAGCCCCACACCTGCTCCACGTTGTTTCCCTCAGATCTTGGCAGAGCAGCAGCTGCACACCGCGCACCCCAGGCCCGGGGCAGAGGGAGCAGAAACACCCCTTGCTGCGCAGGGCAGGCCGAGGGGAGCAGCAAAGGGAACACGCAACTGCGGGGCTGGGCAGGCAGGTAGGCGGGCAGGCGGCCGGGCCCATCTCTGCTCTCGCCGAGCCCTGGTTAGTGTCCCTGCCCCCACCACAATGCAATCGGGCTGCTGGCCCAACGCATGCAGCTAGAGCAGTGGTTCTCAACCTTCCTAATGCCACGACCCTTTCATACAGTTCCTCATGTTGTGGGGACCCCCAACCATAAAATTATTTTCGTTGCTACATCATAACTGTACTTTTGCTACTGTTATGAATCGTCATGTAAATATCTGATATGCAGGATGTATTTTCATTGTTACAAATTGAACATAATTCAAGCATAGTGATTAGTCACAAAAACAGTATGTACTTATATATGCGTTTTCCGATGGTCTTCGGCGACCCCTGTGAAAGGGTCATTTGACCCCCCAAAAGGGGTTGCAACCCACAGGTTGAGAACCACTGAGCTAGAGAATGGTCCTCTGGCTATGGATTCCAGCGTCGGTGGCTCCTACCCACCCGAGTCTGTGAGGGAAACTAAAGGCCAGAGAGGTAGGCAAGGCAGGTCGCCCCACCTGCCGACAGCTGTTGCCAAGGCCCCGAAGCAGATTAGCCCGCGGATGTGGGTCCCAGGCCCGCAGGTGTGGGCCCACCACCCTGTGCGGCTCCGATTGTGTTACCAGAAGAGCTCGGCCCCCAACGTGATCAGAGGGCTGGGGGCGCGCTGCCCGCAGCGCCTGCTGGCCACTTTGATGTGAGGGCGCCCGAGCCCCACGCCCCCTTCGGTGATGTTCAAGAGCCGTGCGGTGTGCCTGCTGCCCATTCTTTCTTAAAGCAAGGAATTGTCTAACCTTTTAATATGAACCAGCAATTATCTCCAAGGCAGGAAACCAAACCCGGGCTGTTCTGGTGAAAGACAAGATGCCTCCCTGCTGTGCTGAGCAGAGGAGACCACATGAAAGGCTCAGCCCGCTCGTCGGGGCTGCGCTGAGGTTCCAGGAACAGATTGGGCCCCGGCCTGGCCCCCGCCCAGCTGCCAGGGCCTGGGCCGCGTGTGGGAAGGAGCCCCGGGGGGGCCTCGGGGACACTGGGCCCCCTCGTGCAGGCCCTGACCGGCGGCAGCTCCGGCCCAGCCCTTGCCTCTGCGCCTCCTGCCACCGTCCACGGCCCTCGTCCACTAAAGCCAAGGCTCCAGCGACTCCTCGGGCCTGCCCACCGGAGGGCTCCCTGGGTCCTGGGCCTCCCTCCCCAGCAGTTCCCACAATCCTCCATGTACACAACCCAAAGCTCCTGACCCCGCGGCCCTGCCGTGGTCACTCGCTTCACCGCCCCCTTTGCAGGAAAACTCCTCATCCCCAATTCCTCCCCCGTCCCCTCCTTCTACATGTCCATATTTGGAAAGTACAAAAGAAAAGTGTAACATAAACCTACACCTCTAAGTTCTTAAAGCAATGACCGTGCCCCCACGCAGCCAGATGCGAACGCCGCCCAGATGTGCCCACGTATGACCATGGGTCCTCCCCACCATCCTGCCTCCCCAAGAGGTGGCCCCTCCTGGGACTGCAGGCTCCCGTGCCCTTGAGCTACAGGTGACTCTACTGCCAAAGGGTACACGCCCTGAAGGCACACTAACTTTTGTGCTTTTTTCTTGGTTTTTTTAAAAATATATTTTATTGGTTTTTTATACAGAGAGGAAGGGAGAGGGATAGTTAGAAACATCGATGAGAGAGAAACATCGATCCGCTGCCTCCTGCACAGCCCCCACTGGGGATGTGCCCGCAACCAAGGTACTTGCCCTTGACCAGAATGGAACCTGGGACCCTTCAGTCCACAGACTAACGCTATATGCAGTTTGAGGACCCCTGCTCTATCCACTGAGCCAAACCGGTCAGGGCTTAACTCTGGTTTTGAATTTTACGTAAGTAATGCTTTTCTGTACGGCGTCTCCTGGAACTTGCTTTGTTCACTCGGCGTTGTGTTTCTAAGATCCCTTCACGCAGCTCTTCGAGGCCGGAGGCCGGAGTCGGTTCGGTACGGTGTGAGCAGAGCTCCTCGGCGTGCGTTCTGTCGAGGACGTGTAAGTTGTGCCCGGCTTTTGCTCTCTCAACGTTCTACCCGCTGGCGCACGTGGGCAGGGGCGCTCTTCGGTGTGCCCCTAGCAGAATAAGGTGCCGTATCCAACGGCCGTAAAGGATGCCGAACTATTTTCCCAAGAGGCTGTGTCCATCAGACTCCTCCAAGCTCATCTGTGGGTTCCAGACCTGCTCGAGGCTGTGAAACACATCAGGGCGGCCTCGCCCTGCACCTCGGATCACGGTAAGACTGCACGTCTTTTCACGTCACTATGGGACTTGGCTTCTCTGTGAAAAACCCGTTCAAGCCCCTGTTTTCTATCGGTTTGCCTTTTTCTTGCTAATTAATTTATAGGAGCTTTTCACGTGGCCCAGACATAGGTCCTTACTCAGTTACACCTGCTACACACATTTCCCCAGGCAGTGGCTTGCCTGTCTGTGGTGCCTTTTAAAGAAAGTCCTTACGTGTCCTGAGTTTATCAACATTTTCTTTTCTGTACGTATAGTCTGTAAAGTGCTTCCAAGTCTGCCTTTTACACCTAAGGCCCGGGGATCCTCCTGCCTCTGCTCCGTCGGGGCCGTGACCCCCGCCCAGGGGTCCCTGACTTGCCGCTATGCTGGATGACTCCCGACCCCCATCCCTGGAGCCCGGCCAGAGCCACGGCAGCCACGGGAAACCACGGCTGAGACGAGAACACACGCTCGTCGCCAGGAGACTTCCCCCAGTGCAGCGTGGTGGCCTGGGCGGGGACGGGGACGGGGACACAGAGCACTGCGGACAGGGCCACCCAGGGGCCCGTCCTGCACCAGCAGCCGCGCCCAAGCTCCATCCAGCTGGCACCTTTGAAACTGGCGGATGGGACCCCTCAGAGTGTCAAGAGCCCTGCACAGTCAGAAGGCACCAGAATGACCACGCCCGAGGGTGGAGCTAACCTCTCCAACCAGCCCTGCCCACCGGGGCCCAGCACAGATCATCCAGAGTCATCTGCTCGGACGTAAACGTCAGGGAGGCTTCTCTGTGACAAGACGTGAAGCGGGCGGGGTGGACGCACCGTGCGCCTCTGGCACCTGCACAGGACACCCCACCCAGCAGTGCCTGCTCAGCCTGCAGCCCAGACACTGAGGCAGGGCCACAGCCCGAGACAGGCAGCCTGCAGCCAGCCAGGGGAAAGCAATGAGCCTCCTGGGGTCACAGAGTCCAGCTTGCATTAAAAACGAGGCCAACAGAACCCGATCCCGCCATTAGATGGCGCTGAGACTGGAACCGTGTCGGGGTCGGCAGCAGTGGAGGGGTGAGCAGGGCAGCAACGCAGGGGGCCTCACCCCTGACCCCGACAGCAGGGCCCTGCGAGGCCAGGTGGCTGTGGCCTTCTAGCCGCTGCTCCAGGAGGTTCTCCTGCCCCAAACCTGCCTTCTGGAAAGGCAGCCACAGAGGGGCCCGGGCTGGGAGTGCCCTCACAGCCCCCACAGGTCCCCCAAACCTGAGGGATTTCAGATCCACTCCAGGACCAGAAAGTGCAGCGTGTGTGGGTACAAAATCACCCAGAGGGTTAACAAACCCCGAGCACTGGGGTTCATGACGTTTCAGAAGCTACTTTTTCAGTTAAACTTTCCTCTCATCCCATTGTCCAGACAGGAGACCAGACACCCCTTCCCAGGTGGCCAGCACCTATGCCCTCGTGGCTGTGCAGTGCCCTCGGCAGACATCACTAATCCATCTCAGCAATGCTTTCCACGGAGACCCCGGTCCTCAACAGAGGCCTCCAAGAGCAATCGCCAATTGCTGAGCCGGCAGTTCACAAGGGAACCCCCTGCCATCGGGATCTGTGGTGGATCACATGGCAACGTGGCCTCCACACACTGCTCACTCCTCCCCCCACACCCTGAGGACACACAGTAGGACCACTCCTGGCTTATACATGCCTTTATGCAAATTAGAAAAAGGGGGCCCCTGCCTCGGGTAGACAGCCCCCGGCCACAATGCACCCCTGTGCCGTGCACAGCTGAAAGGACCGGAGGACCAGGACAACTGTGTCGCAGGAAAGACGACAACCTCATTCTTTGCAAAACTCATTGATATTGGCATTCTGACCCGTAAGGAAACACCCAATCACATTCACACAATTCGTACAGTAAGAAAACAGCCAAGGCCCACTTCGTGCGAAGCCACCAGGATCCACACTTACTGGCCTGGGAAGCTGCCGGCGGCCTGTGCGGGCCCCACGGGGCCTCTGGTCCCTGAAGGCCGCCGGCAGCAAAGGCACCACGGAAACCGCAGGGACACAAGGGGGCCTGCTTCTTGCTGTCAGGCCGTCTCAAAGGTCCCTGTGGAGTCACCCTCTTCCCACACTCAGACAAGTAAAAGCAGCTCACGTAAGGGCGCGGCGTGGACGCGGCCGAAGCGCCAATGTGCTGCGATGCTGCCGACAGAAGCTGCACGTTCCGCTCGGCAGTGCACAGGCCTCGGCTCTGTCGCTTCTGTCACGGCCTCGGGGGCGGAGTGGCTCTGTCTCTCCTTCGGGCCGCAGCTGCCTCTCCCGGGACCCACGTTGGTCCCAGGCCACATCGCCATCCGCCAGCCAGGGAGGCACACGGGACGTCACCTGCACAGCTGCAGGTGGGGGTGATGCCGCAGCTTGGCCATCAGCTCCTCCTCCGTCGGCTCCTCCAGGACCTCCCTGCGGGACCGGAGAAGGTGTGCATGGCCCTTCCAGACAGCAAGGTGCAGTCTGGGCCAGCCCTGCCCGCTCCCTGCGCAGGGCAGCCTCCTACACGTGCACAGGGGACGGGCGAGGGCGGGACCCGGGACTCAGACACATCTGCGGAGTGTGCCTGGCGCTCCCAAAAGCCCCGGTGGCTGCTGGGGCGGGACAGGGAACCACTGTGACAAGGCAGCCAACGCCCATGAGGGAGGCGGTCACCTTTCTCCACTCGGAGAGGAACCAAGGGTGGTGTCCTCAGTCACCTGTCCACGTCCACCCACAGAATCACCTGGAGACTAACAGCACCTCAGGATGTTTCCACGAATGTGCTCAATGGAGAACAGGACAGTTCACGGCCGGGCAGCAGGAGCAGCGGAAGCAACAGACCCCAACCCTAGACCCCAACCCCAACCCCAGACCTCAGGGAGCTCCAGCTCCGCCAGAGGGAGGCCAGGAGCCCAGGCTGTGGGGAGGGTCACTGTCACAGAGGACGCCTGCCCACACCTCCCGGCCCCCTCCTCGCCCAGGGGCCGAGCGGCAGGCCCTCCCGCCCGCACACCTGAACAAGAGGTCCACCGCGGTGACCTGGTCCCCGGAGCGGGACTGCAGCTCGCCTCGGCGGTCCCACTTGTGGAGGAAGTTCTGGGGAGCGGAGGGGAGAGGGGGCCAGTGGGTG